TAATAATAAATTGAGCGACTATCAACCCATGTCTGAAGTAATGTTTGTTACTATTGGAAAGGTAATTATTTCACCCATTAATTAAAAAAAACCCAATTTTTTTTTTTTTTTTACATTTTTTTATTGATCAATAGAATAAGGGAGCTGGTCTTTTACCGATGTTTGGTGGTCTGGTTGTTGGAAGCTTCCTAGTTAAACAATTAAAAGGCAAAGATTTGACTGTCGATAGAACCTGGAAAACATTGAATGCTAAACAAAAAAAGTAGGAACTTTAAACAAGTATTTTATTTATTTATGTTTATGTCTCTTTCTCATTGTTCACTGTACATCGAACAATTAGGGAAACCCCCGGGATCAACTATTTTCGCATTTTTCTTTACACTTGTATTGCATTAGCTGTTTATAAATATACATCGGATTACCTTCCCATAGATTATTTTACCAATAGATTGTAGATACTATGTATGATTCACGTGATCGACGACAGTGATTGACACGTAATACATTTCGCGAATTTCGCGAATTCGCGAGAAATTTTAATTAAATCTCGTGGAACCAACATTGCTCTAATATAATTCAAGTTAAATTTTTGCAAGGTGAATAATTAATTATTTTTAAATTTTTTAAGTTTTTATTAAATAATTAAATTATACATTAAAAAAAGAAATTATAAAATCACAACAATAATAATGAAATAATAAATAATGAAAACAATAGTATATATAATTTATTTTTATTTTTTTAATAAGATTGGTGAGATATGAGTTTTTTTTTTGTTAAAAGTATATAATGTTTTATCATTTTTTTGAGTTGAATTTTTCGAAAAATCAATAAAACATCTTTTAAAATTTGATAATGATAAATCTTCATTTATCAATAAATTAAAATTATTAATTATTAATTAATATCAAGATCATTTTTATTTAAACTAATGTTATTTTATATTTCAGTGTTAGGTTTGGCGCCAAAAGTCACAAATTGCACGTCGGATTCAATCACCGTGTCTTTGTTGGTTTTCAG